GCCATATTGTGGGAGAGCAGATGCATAGAATAAGTCTTAATTCCAGTAACTTAGTCTAGTCCGAGTTGCTCCCAGTTGCTCCCCACAACTGGAAGTAACTTTCTGGCTTCTTTCTTTAAAAAAAAAAGCCTTTTAGGGGCCAGTGCTGTGGCACACAGCAGGTTAAAGCCCTGACCTGATGCACTGGCATGCCATATGGGCGCCAGTTCAAGACCTGGCTGCTCCGCTTCTGATCCAGTTCTCTGTTATGGCTTGGAAAAGCAGTAGGAGATGGCCCAGGGGCTGGTGCTGTAGCGTGGTGGGTTAAAGCCCTGGCCTTAGGCGCTAGCATCCCATATGGGCTCAGGTTCAAGTCCTGGCTGCTCCACTTCTGATCCAGCTCTCTGCTATGGCCTATGAGAAAGCAGTAGAAGATGGCCCAAATCCTTGGGCCCCTGCACCTGCGTGGGAGACCCGGAAGAAGCTCCTGGCTCCTGGCTTTGATCAGCCCAGCTCCAGCCAGTGTGGCCAATTGAGGAGTGAACCACTGGATGGAAGACCTCTCTCTCTGTCTCTCCCTCTCTCTGTAACTCTGTCTTTTAAATGAATAAAATAAATCTTTTTAAAAAGTCTTTGTGTCCTTTCTCACGCAGACACACATAGGATCCTAAGTGCTATCTGTGCGTTTTGATTTGCATTTCCCTAGTGCCTACTGATACTGGCGTTCTTTCATGTGTTTAGCTGCCATTCACAGCTCCACTTCAAGTCCAAATCTTTTGCCGATTTCTTGCGAGGTTATTTTATTACTGAGTTTGTTACTAGTTATCTTAAAAAGTCAAGCTGTTTCTACCCAACGACTGGGCAGTATTATTTAAAATGAGAAAGTAATACCACTGAATCATACACTTAAAAAAGGTTCAGATGGTTAAACAAAAGAGAGAGAGAGAGAGACTGATTCCCCCCCCATACACAAACTGAGAAAGCATCTTCATCACAGATACAAAATTTGTGACATCAGACCTCTGAGCTCAACTCTGTAAATCACTAACACATAAAAAAACCCACTGACCACAACCACAAATTCTAACCTCAGAACTGAACATTACCAAGCAAAATAAAATGCTTCTTCATCCTGCGTTCTGCTGACAGGGATTCTGTGCTGTCCACAGGAGTAGGCACTGCCCACACGTGACCCCGGAGCGCTCGAGACGCGCCGCAAAGGTGAAACACACCCCACAGTCCCATGTCTTAGTAAGAAAAACTGCACGTGAAGAGGCCCCATCTGGGATCTTTTCATTACGCTAAGAGTTTTATTTTATTAGTCAAGAGGCAGAGAGGGGCAGACAGCTCTCTTATCCGCGGAGGTTCACTCCCAAATGCGCAGACTGACCGACGCTGGGCCAGGCCAGAACCAGGGGTGCAGCTCAGGGCCTCCACCGAGTGGCAGGGCCCAGTCACTCCCAGAGTCTGCAGTAGCCAGGGCTGGAGTCGGGAGCCAGAGCCTGGGATCAAACCCTGATGACCTGATACGTGATGTAGCTGTCTTACCCAGGAGACCAAATGCCCACTGGAATACTTCTTATACTGATTACATCCTAAAGTGCCATTCTAGACAAAAGGATTCAATATATCACTTTCACTTGCTTTAGAAAGCAAGTAACAACTGTCTGGTACCATGTGATATTCTGACATACCCATACACTATGGAATGACTAAACCAATATAATTAACCCATCACTTTACTTTTTCCTAAAGGAGCCACTACAACATTTGAAACTACACGTGGCTTACGTTGTTTCTCTATGGGCAGCTCTGATTAAAAACTTTTTCAAGTAAAAGCTTGAAAATCATGTCTCTCCAAGTGCTAAAAACAAAGCACGTGCGTGAACACTGTCTCCCCGCTTTCTCTGAGTGGTGCGGCGAGCCGTGCAGTGAGCAGGGCTCAGAGGCACCAGGAGTCTTCAGGTCTAAGTGACCACCCACGGGCCTCCTGCACTTCAACTGTGCTCAGCGTTTAACTGGAAAAGTCAACAGCAAGGTACTCTGCTCCTACTTGTTACAAAGCGTTTTTCTAGTACCACAGGTGCTCAAAACCTGAACACAGAGAGGTTCTTCAAAGGTAGCCAATTTATTTGGGAAGGCCATTGCGACCGGGAACAGGTGCGCCACAGTCAACTGGGGGTGTACTCAAGCAGGCTGAGGCAAGGGGAAGTTCTTAAAGGCAAAAGGAGAGCATCACACGAATTATTTTTAAATAACAACCCTTGGCTGGCCAGGTCAGTCACAAGAGCAGTGTCAGGCCAAGACCACGCAGGCAACTTGGGGGCAGGCACCCTGCAAAGTTACTTGATTCTGACAGGAGGCTGAGTTCCTGGCAGAGTATCCTGTGACAGGTCTTGCCAGCATGGATAGGTGCATGGAATCCCACGCTACACGGCCGCCCCGCCTGGCTTTACTTTGCTATTGGCAGGGTTTGACAAAAGTGACTCCATTTTCATTCTGACAGCTTCCACAAGCTCCTGAGCCTCGAGTTAACAGGCGTAATCCAAACGTCCCAACTACTATACAAGGCAAAATAAAGAAGGCCCTAGGAAAGGAGCCAAGCCCATGTGACGGCATAGCAGGTGCATGTCTCAGGAGAAAGAGCGGCCCGGAGACTCCCACCACTCACAGCCCGGACACACGGGCTGGGCTGGGTGCTGCTCAGCCAGGCTGTCCCCACCAACAGGGATGGGACAAGAAGCAAACAGCAGGCCCCAAATCTGCAGCACGGCCCCCCCAAAAATCTCCAGAAAGCAAGGGACTTTTCTTTAACAGATAACTGCTTGTAAGACACACACAGAGGGGGAAAGTGGTGCGCGGTTTAGTGGAAACCACATCGCAAGCTAGGCTGGAATTCGGACAGACGCAAAATAAACACACAAAACACACTGCCCACGCCTTCCGCTGCCCCCCACATTCAGGGGAAATGATTTGCCGTGACACCCAGATGCTGCTATGTCAAGGGGTATTTCCATAAACTGGATGTGCACAATCACTCCTACGTAAGTCACAAGTTCATGAATGTCCGTTCTAAACATGCATTTGCAATGATGCTACAGCGTACGAAGAACCTGAACTTACAATGCAAACTCAAACAAGCCTGCCTACCAGGAGTCACTGGCTCACGGCACTCCTTGGAGAGAAAGGTTACCCCCAATTTAAGGGGGATGAGAAAATTGGGGGCTGGCATTGGAGCGCAGCGGGTTAAGGTGCCACTTACAAAGCCAGCACCCCAGATCAGGGTGGTTCAAGCCCTGGCTGCTCCGCTTCGGACCCAGCTCTCTGCTAATGTGCCTGGGAGGGCAGCAGGAGATGGCCCAAGAGCTTGGGCCCCTGCCACTCATGTGGGAGGCCTGGGACCGCTGGGCAGTGTGAACAGTGACCAAGTAGGTGGAAGATCTGTTTGTTTCCACCTCTCTCTCACTCTTTCAGGTAAATAAAATAAACCTTTAAAGAAAAAAAAAGGGTAAGAAAATTGAGGAACAAATTCCTGAAACAACAACAAAAAAAGCACAAGCCGTGGTCCCCCAGCACCTTTTATTAATATTCCCTCAGCTTTCAAGAGGAAAAGACCAGGGCCGGTGCTGTGGCACAGCGGGTTAACGCCCTAGCCCGAAGCGCCAGCATCCCATATGAGCGCAGGTTCTAGTCCCGGCTGTTCCTCTTCCGATCCAGCTCTCTGCTATGGCCTGGGAAAGCAGAAGATGGCCCAAGTGCTTGGGCTCCTGCACCTGCGTGGGAGACCTGGAAGAAGCTCCTGGCTCCTGGTTCGGATTGGTGTAGCTCTGGCCCTTGCGGCCATCTGGGGAGTGAACCAGAGGATGGAAGATCTCTCTCTCTCTCTGCCTCTCCTCTGTGTAATTCTGACTTTCAAATAAATAAATCTTTAAAAAAAAAGAAAAAGAAAAGAAAGGACCGGGGAACCCTTTTATCAAGTAGGTCTGAATGTTACCTAGATCTCCTATAGCTTGTTCTTATTCTCAATGTGGCAGACCGTTTCTAAGGTCAGAAATTCCCCACGCCGCCTCAAAACTGCTTGGAGCTCGTCGTTTGCCCCACGTTTGGCTAAGTGACCGCGGCACACTCCCCAGTTCTACAGCTCTGCGTGCATCCAGCCCCTTCCAGAACCTGAGTGTGGGGTCCCAGCCCCCCTGCGCCTTTCTCTCCCCGGGAGGAAACCTCGCGAGGGGCAGGCGCTGTGGCAGAGAGGGCTGGACACCCACCTGTGGATCCCGACAGCCCAAGGCATCTCCGTAACCCCGGGGCCCCTGGAAGAGTTGGTGAGGACGTCCTGACAACCCTGCGGCAGATCTGAGACGACTTCCATCCTACCTGTCCCCCACCCACCCCACCCGCGGCAGGTGCACCGCCAACTCCACCGTCACCCGGAGGAGGGCTCACCCCGAACCAAGGTCCCGGAAAAAGGACCGACAGGCGAGCCTCGGCTGAGCCTCGCTCTCCCACGGAATCCTCCACAATGCCAAGTCCACTCTGGGGCAGAGCCGCCGCCCGCCCGAGCCGCATCCACCGCGGCGGCATTCCCGCGGGCACGGCCCTGCGCAGAGGTTCTCGGGTGGGAGGTCGGCTAGAATCCGGGAACACCGCGCGGGCCCCCCAGCCCCTCAGCCGCGAGTGGAGGCTGCGCCCCCGCGGGAGCCGCCCGGGGCCGGCCTCTCCCCGGCCACGCCGCCGCGGGCAGGGCGCGGGCGCGGTGGGGAGGCCGGCCCGGCCGGGCGGGCGGGCGAGCCCGCGGCGCTGGGACGCCCCCACCCAGGCCGCAGGGTCGCGCGCCGTCCGCGCCCGCGCCCGCGCGACCCCTCGCGCCCTGAGGGCCGCCGGGGCCCGGCGAGGCGGCGGCGTGTCCGGACCGCAGGCCCGCGCGCGGCGGCCGACCGCGCACCCCGCGCCTGCCCAGCTTCCCCGACCCCAGACCCCCGGGCCGCCCACCGCCGGGAAAGGCCGGGCTCCCGCCTACTCACCGACCGCCAGGCGCCTCCGCGGGACGCTGCCTCCCGCCCAAGCCGCCGCCGCCGCCGGCAGAGAGGCGTGCGTGAGGACGTGCGCGCGCCCGCCTTTGTCTACGCCGCTTTGACGTGACCCGGCGCGTCCCGGCGCGCGCCCGGGGCCGCCTAATCTCCCGCGGCACTCGCTCGGGGCGGGGCCTGGAGCAGGGGCGGGGCCGGGCGGGGCCGAGGGGCGGGGACTGGGCGTGGTCGAGACGGCCGTCCCTCCCCGCCCCCGCCCGGGCCGTGCGGGCGGATGCTCTGCGGGCGGCGCCCGCTGGAGTCTGGTGGGGGGAGGTCGGCCGTGGCCGGCGAGGAGGGGCAGCGGTCACCGCCGCACGGTGTGGTGGGGCTGCCTGTGTGCGGCGAGCTTGCGCACGCAGGGCCCGGCGCCCTGCAGCTCCAGCTCCCCAGAGTGTCGTCCCAAGTCCAGCCTTGGCGTGTGTCCTGTGTGTGTCCACCCTTCTGCGTGGCCTGCTCCCGCTGCCTTCCCGCCTGCAGAGCCAGCCAAAAGCCCAGGAGCAGCTCGAGCACCCGCTGGCCTTTACACGCTGTCGCACAGTTCTCATCGTGATGTTTGAGATTAAAGAGTGGCTCGCGTGTGTGACGGGCTCCCCCAAAATGGCACTGATGCATCCTTTGTCCACCCGGAGGGTAGGCTTGGTTGTTGGATGTCAACGCACACTGTGAGGCTGTGCACACAGCACTGGCACATGCTGCTATTTTTTTGTTGTTTTTAAAGATTTATTGTATTTATTTGAAAGGCAGAGCTACAGAGAGAGAATGGGAAAAAGAGAGAGAGATGGATCCATCTTCCATCCACTGGTTCACTCCCAAATGGCCGCAATGGGGCAAGGGCTGGCCCAAACCAGGAGCCAGGAGGTTCTTCCGGGTCCCCCACGTGGGTGCAGGGACCCAAGGACTTGGACCATCTTCCACTGTTTTCCCAGGCCATAGCAGGGAGCTGGATCAGAAGTGGAGCAGCCGGGAGTTGAACCTGTGCCCATATGGAATGCGGCATTGCAGACGGTGGCTTTATCCACTGCGCCACAGCCCCAGCCTCCAACATGGGCTTCCTTAGTGCTGAAGAGGAAGCCGACTTGAACCAACACGAATGGGTGCTCAGCCTGGCGGCTGAGACCCTGCCTCCCACATCAGAGCCGCGTGACTTCCATTCTCAGCACGGTCCTGACAGCAGCTGCTTGCCATCACACACACCCCAGGGACGGCGCAGGTGAATGGGTCCCTGCCACTCACCTGGGAGAGCTGGATTGCACCCTGCCCCTTGGCCCATTGTGGGCATGTACGGGTGCACCTGTGGGTGGGCGCTCGCTCTTGTCTACCTCTAGATTTTGCTTGTGAAACTCAACGATCCAGCAGATCTTTGTCAGGTTGATTTCCAGGTGTGAGGAATGTAATGCGACAGGTGAATTGGACTGGACATGCTAGAAAAAGCTAGCCGCAGACCAACTGCTCCTACGGGACAAAGCCTCCTGCTCATGGCGTGGCCAGGCTCGTGTCCAACACCAAATTTCTTGTCACTGTGAACTAGGATGGGAAACTCACTTCTTTCCCGCAGAACGCTGTGGGCAGCTGAGAAAATCCGATGACGAACAGTCCTTAAAATAAGGGAATCACAGGATTTAATGCCGAACCCCTACCCCGTTGTGCCTCTGCACTGACTTCCCAAAAGGCACCCACGATCCCTGTGCATGCCATGTGTGGACAGCATGCCGTGAAGTGGGAAAGACAGGTGCTCCCGCCGCAGGGGAGTCGTAGCACACCTGTGCTGTACCACGTGCCTCAATTGTTTGCTGCATGGCCGGCGCCGTGGCTCAATAGGCTAATCCTCCACCTTGCAGCGCCGGCACACCGGGTTCTAGTCCCGGTCGGGGCGCCGGATTCTGTCCCAGTTGCCCCTCTTCCAGGCCAGCTCTCTGCTATGGCCAGGGAGTGCAGTGGAGGATGGCCCAGGTGCTTGGGCCCTGCACCCCATGGGAGACCAGGAAAAGCACCTGGATCCTGGCTCCTGCCATCAGATCAGCGCGGTGCGCTGGCCGCAGCGGCCATTGGAGGGTGAACCAACGGCAAAGGAAGACCTTTCTCTCTGTCTCTCTCTCTCACTGTCCACTCTGCCTGTCAAAAAATAAAAAAATAAAAAAATAAAAAATTGTTTGCTGCATGACCAGTGACTTCCGGGCACCTTTCTAAGCACCAAGAGAAAAAGTCAAATAAGGATGAAAGAACGTTCTTGTGGGGGGGGGGGGGAGTTAAAGTGGTAATGCACATAAAATATACCATCTCACCCATTCCTAAATGTTCACTGTATTCACATTGTTGCGACTCTTCAGAACTTTTTCATCTCAAAAATGAGAGCTATGGAGGTGGCGCTGTGGCATAGCGGGCTAAGACTCTGCCTGTGGTGCTGGCATCCCATAGGGGTGCTGGTTCGAGTCCGGCTGCTCCACTTCCCATCCAGCTCCCTGCTAACGCACCTGGGAAAGCAGTGGAAGATGGCCAAGTTCTTGGGCCCCTGCCACCCACGTGGAAGACTGGGAAGAAGCTCTTGGATCCGGGCTTCGAATTGGCTCAGCTCTGGCCGTTGGGGTCATTTGGGGAGTGAAGCAGTGGATTGAAGACCTCTCTCTGTTTCTCTCTCTCTCTCTCTGTAACTCTGCCTCTCAAATAAGTAAATAATAAATCTTTTTTTAAAGATTTATTTTATTTATTTGAGAGACAGAGTTACAGAGCAAGGTAGAGACAGAGAGACAGGTCTTCCATCCGCTGGTCCACTCCCCAGATGGCTGCAAAGACTGGAGATGCACCGATCTGAAGCCAGGAGCCAGGAGCTTCTTCTGGGTCTCCCACATGGGTGCAGGGCCCAAGGACTTGGGGCATCCTCCACTGCTATCTCAGGCCACAGCAGAGAGCTGGATTGGAAGAGGAGCAGCCGGGACTCGAACCAGTGCCCATATGGGATGCCAGCGCTTCAGGCCAGGGCATTAATCTGCTGTGCCACAGCACCAACCCCTCTTTTTTTTTTTTTTAAAGAGAATTCTGTACTCTGTAAACAGAAGCTGTCCTTCTCCCCTTTCCCAGGCCCGAGAAATCAGCGGCCCACTATGCATTAATATGAATTTGGTGGCTCTAAACACTCCTACAAGTGAAGTCAGGGTTCGTCTTGCTGAGACTAGATCACTTTGTGCAGCTTTAAGTCCTTTAAGTTTACTCATATTATTGCACGTGTCAGAACTTTCTCCTTTTTAAAAAAAATTAATTATTTTTTCCCAAAGAAAACTTTTATTTAAGGACTACAAACTTCATGCATTTCATCAGTACAACTTTAGGAATATAGTGATCCTTCCCACCATACCCGCCCTCCCACCCCTCCTCCTCCTCCTCCTCTCTCTCCCATTCCCAGTCCCTTCTCCACTAAGATCCATTTTCAATGAACTTTATACACAGAAGACCAACTTTATACTAAGGGTTCAACAATTTGCACACACACACACACACACACACACACACACAGTTCCTCAACGGTAGAGACAAGGGCTGTTCAAAGTCATTGCATTTTGAAGTTTATTTCACTTCTTCTTCTTTTTTTTTTTTTTTTTTTTTGAAACTTTAAACTAACTTTAAAGAAGCACCCAAGAATGATACATCTTTTGCTAGGACTTAGACATACTGTAATACAACTCTTTGAGGACAGGGGTCCTGCATTGGAAGTTAGTGCACAGTGACTCTTGTTAATTTAACAATTAACACTCTTATGTAGGATGTCAAAGATCACCCAAAACTCTTGACATGAACTGCCTAGGCTATGGGAGCCTTTTGAATCCCCAGACTCTATCAGTATTTAGACAAGGCCATAGTCAAAGTGGAAGTTCTCTCCTCCCCTCAGACAAGTACCTCCTTCTTTGATGGCCCCTTATTTCCAATGGGGTCTCACAGAACTTTCTCCTTTTTTCTTCTTCTTCCTCTCTTATTTGTTTTTTAATTTTTAATTTTTTAAAGATTTATTTATTTATTTGAAAGGCAGAGTTACAGAGAGGCAGAGGCAGAGAGAGACAGAGAGACAGAGACAGAGATCTTCTATCTGCTGATTCACCCCCCAAATGGCTGCAATGGCCAGAGCTGTGCTGATCTGAAGCCAGGAGCCAGGAGCTTCTCCTGGTCTCCCATGCGGGTGCAGGGGCCCAAGGACTTGGCCATCCTCCACTGTTTTCCCAGGGCATAGCAGAGAGCTGGACAGGAAGTGGAGCAGCCGGGTCTCGAACCGGCGCCCATATGGGATGCCGCCACTGCAGGCAGCGGTCCTACCTGCTAAGCCACAGCACTAGCCTCCCTAATTGCTCTTGCTAATACTTCCAATACCATATTGAATTAAAGAGTAGACATCCTTGTCTGTTTCATTTGATGTCTTACTGGCCACTGGTTTATAACTAGGAGGTATGTTCCTTTTATACCTAATTTGTGGAGGTTTTTTTCTTTTTTTATCATGAAGAGGTATTGAATCTTTTTTTTTTTATTTTTGACAGGCAGAGTGGACAGTGAGAGAGAGAGACAGAGAGAGAAAGGTCTTCCTTTGCCGTTGGTTCACCCTCCAATGGCCGCCGCTGCAGCCGGCGCACCGCGCTGATCCGATCCAGGTGCTTTTCCTGGTCTCCCATGGGGTGCAGGGCCCAAGCACCTGGGCCATCCTCCACTGCACTCCCTGGCCATAGCAGAGAGCTGGCCTGGAAGAGGGGCAACCGGGACAGAATCCGGCGCCCCAACCGGGACTAGAACCCGGTGTGCCGGCGCCGCAAGGTGGAGGATTAGCCTATTGAGCCACGGCGCCGGCTAAGAGGTATTGAATCTTATCAAATGCTCTCTCTCTGCATCTATTGTCGATGTGATGTGTGACACTGATTTGCGAATGTCGACCTCCCTCATATCTCTGGGATAAATCCGATTTGATGGTGGTGCATGGTTTGGATGTAGTGTTGGATTTGCTCTGCTGATATTGTTGAGAATTTTTGCATCCATGTTCATCAAGAATATTGGTCTGTAGTTTTCTTTTTTTATTTTTCTTTTTTATTTTTGACAGGCAGAGAGGATAGTGAGAGACAGAGACAGAGAGAAAGGTCTTCCTTCCATT